AAAATCTGATCTCAAATCTATAATTGTAGATTTTTGGTTGGTTTCCATAAGGCATATATTTTTTGCCTAAGTAGTTGATGTCCAATCTTTCCGATCATACAACTTTATAATAATTGCATGTTTCCATGGTTTGTAAATTCTGGCTTTTTCTTCAAGAGATAGGGGAATAAAAATGATTGGGTCAGTGGGTGCTTCCATTTTATCATTAAACACCAAAGGAAGGTGTAGCGGATCATTTAGGGTAGTCGTTGAAGGTGTAATATTATTGGATAGTAGGCTAGTAAGGTATGTTTTATTGACAAATTGAGATGGAGTTGCTAAATTATCAGTTGTGTCAATATTCATATTGTTATCTGAGATGATGGAGTAGGTATTTTGTGATGTTTTGGATGATGTTGAAACTGAATTCAGTGGAATACCAAGTGATTTGAGTGGTATGGAAGATAAAGATTCATATGGTGGAGAGTTCATATTAGAGTAGCACTAAAAGTGCTCGGTACTTTCACTCGATACCAAAAGGCTTTTAGAGAAACAACAAGCTGCTCACTCAAGTTTGAGTTCAATCATGTAAAAGGTTGGATGAACAGGTAAAAGGAAATGAAAGTGAGATCAACCTAACTTGCTTTGCTGTAACATTCTTTCTCTTTCTTTTTTGAGAGGAAAATATTATTTTCTCTTGAAAGTATCTATCTAGTAAAGGTTGAAATTTACAGCATCAAATAGTATTACAGTAGTCATGGAAATTAGAAACTAGTTAGGCCAGACGCTTCTTTTTCTTTTTCTTTTTCTTTTTTAGCCCTTTTTGGCGGAAAGAAAGCTAAAACAAGCTGGATTCATCATCGAGCAGTTTACCTAATATTCACTGATACTGCAAGTTATTTTTCGTATAATTGGTGCAATTTAAGATTTAGTTGAAGGTTACTTGTCTCATTTTGTAAGTTACTAATTCCATATTTTCATTGTTTATATGGATAGTTACGTTCAATAATTTTAAGATAATTTCATAGTGCAAAATATTTTACTGTACTCTTTAATGTTATATAACTTCAATCCATAGACCTAATACTGGATTCATTGAACGAATAAGTGTGTAAGGAGGAAACGAAGAGAGTCCATAGACGTCGACGATTTTGTTTTGACTTTGGCATCCACCAAAAAAAAAAAGACCTTTCTATTTAACCTTTCTATCTTTGGAATTTTAAGTCCATGACTATGGAATGACATTAACCATATATTAGTAATGAAATAAAATGCAAACAAAATCATTTTAGTTACTAACAAAGTTACAGTTTTGGACATACATAAGACACTCATATCTTGAATTGTGTGAAAAAACAAAGACTGGCTTTGTTTCTATACGGAAAGGAAAAACACTGAAATGCTAAGAGTTTAAAAGATGAGCATGCACTTGCATGTGTAGCCACATGTTTTAGCCCCAACATCATCCATTCTCAGCTGATAAAACTTTTGTACATCTCAGAATCTGATTGCTTTCTTGGATTTTTGGGATTTAGATGATTACTATGTTCTTGAATTGTGTACATTATATTAAAAAAATAATGTATATTATTGTGTTTTTGATTAGAGTCCTTCTTCTTCTTTAAAAGTCTCCATCTAACGGTAGCACTAGAAGACACGAGTTTTAATGAGAGTTGCAGAGTGATCCCCACACAAAAGAGAAACAAATCTGAAGGCTAGGAATGAACTTATATGGTAATTTGAATGCATCGAACCCACAAAAACTCTGCACCTTTTAATTTGCTTCTTTTCTTGAAAAAATAAGAAAGCAAAAGCTACTCTAATATACATATCTATTATCTTAAAATGTTCATTTTTTCTACATATGTCGATAATTTCAGCAACCCATATGCGAATACTGGTTATTCTCGACCTTCATCTTCTCTAACTTACTTTACAGAGGTGAACAGGAAAAGCATCCAGAATGCTTAAATGAATTTTGTCCTGCTTAATTGTAAACATGGACCACATATATATATCCTTCTTTAGAACTAGTACATTGAGTTTGTATGTGCGGTATATATTACCTTGTCATTGTCCTTTAACATGTTTTACTTTTATACAGTTTATTATGCAACACTAAAAATTTTATATTATCATATACTTAAAAGATAATTACATATACTGTTTACTAAAGTTGAAATTAGTAATTTGATAAGTAAATAAGCAAGTAATTAACCTACACTAACACGTTAAAATACGTCACTAGTGTAAAAAAATTCTTTATGTTGTTGGTGTTTATAAGTTCAATTCTAAAAGATCGTCTTTTCCATAAGTCAATCGCAAATTATAAAGGAAAAAGGATAGCACTTAAGGAATTTTTTTTTTAATTAGGTAGTGCTTCAACTTTGTTTGCTTATTATTAGCTCCCTCCATATTTGCTAATTATCAAAATGTCAACCAAACTAAGAGCTAGGGGGGGG